AAGCAAAAGTATCCCTAAATAATTTAGCATTTCTTAAGTTCTACATGATCTTCCAGGAGGCTAACATTCACTCCCATTTTACAGATGTAAAGAGAGGAACATCAAGAGACTTGTCTAGTATCAAGAGCAATAAAGGCCAGGCACAGTGACTCATGCCTGTAATCCTATCTCTCTGGGAGGCCGAGGTGGGTAGATTGTTTGAGCTCAGGAGTTTGAGACCAGCCTGAGCAAGAAGGGTCAGACCCCTTCTCTACTAAAATGAAAAACTAAGGCAAGAGGATCACTTGAGCCCAAGAGTTTGAGGTTGCTGTGAGCTATGAGGCCATGGAACTCTACCAAGAAAAAAAAAAAAAGAGTAATAAAGAAAAGAAAAATATCCAGGCCACTTAGACATACACTTGTATATTGTCTCACTGTCAACATTTAAACTCTGACTGTCAACACTCAACTTTCCAAGAAATTCTTTGCATTCTTATTTGCCAACTTCAGTCCACATAGAGATCACCAGTAATGTCTACAAAATTGTTAGAGTATATTTTAAGCAGAAGAAAACATGTAAGTCAGCTAGCTTCTATGCCCCAACACTGTCTTTCCTCTTATAACAACTGATGCCTCTCTCTCTTCCTGAACCATCCGTCCCGAGGGTCTTCCTACGAAGAAAAGGTCTGAATGTTTGTGGGTCACCTCTCTTGCTAGACAACAACTGTAGAATTCCTAAACAAACTATGTTCAGAGAAAGAAAAAGTCTATAAGGGGTACTCTTACCCTAGAAACAAACACAGGGTTAAATGGGACAAAGAAGGAAAATGGAGAGGGGAACAGCAAAAGAAGGAAGAAAAACAAATAACAATTCTCTTTTGCTTAAAGAAACTAAGTGAATTAATTTGCTTAGGAACCTGCAGAGCTTCTCGCAAAGGCAGAAAAGATGGGTGATGTTTCTGCCTCTAGGACAAACCAAAGCAAATTCATTTTCTCCATGTTAAAAGGTTCTGTTGTTCACACAGGTTTTACTTATTAACTGACAAAGTAAGATGAAAGAAAACAGAGAAAGAAAGAAAACCAACCCAGGGGCTATTTTTCTAACATTCTCTCTGGCTTCTACCCAGGTAATCTAGGTTACCCTTTATGTTACCCTGAGCTCTAAGTAGCATTGATTTCCTTTCACAGGCCAGACAGACTTTAATGCTTTGTTTCCTGGGTCCAGGGGAAAAAGTACTCATAACACATTTCATAATAAATTTGAGTTACTACAAAGCTGGCTGCTCACACTGAATCAACCAAGAGACAAGAAACCACTTCAAAAGACCAGAATTGGTTTGCTATTGCCACTTGGTTAAATTAGCCCAGAATGGCCCCTGTGGGAACTTCTGAGTAGCTATTTCTTTCCTAGTGCACAGCTCAGAATCCTCCCAAACACAGCTCCAGGTCTTTGCATGTACCCAGGATGAAATGCAAAAGAACACTTTACAGGATGACATGGATGAGAACTGGACTCTATACAGGATCCCCAATTGGGTTTTCTGGATAAGAGCCCCCTCAGTTACACTGGAAGGACATGCACCTTTTTAAAAACAAAACAAAGCATTTCTCCCAAATGAAACCCTATTCTTTTTAAGAAAAGCAAAAGCTACACAAAGAAGTTAAGTGCACTTAAATAAGTGAAAAAGCAGAAAGGCTCCTGCCTACAACAGCCACCAGCCTAAGGTGAGTGTAAGGTCTTAGCAGTTGAAGAGGCCAAGAGAATCAGATGAACAGGCTGCCACTCACCCAGAAGCACTACATCTCTCTGACATCACAACTTAGCTCCTCAACACTGGTCTCAACCTGAGGACATGGATTCCAATCTGAAACTAACTTCATTTCATTTTTCTACTGAAATCTCTGCTCAGCTCACCCTAACACTCTGGTGAATTCAGCAGAGACAAATCAAAGAAAAGAATGGACATTTTGGAAATAATCATCAAAGAATGGCTCGGCGCTCATAGTTCAGCGGCTAGGGCACCAGCCACATACACGGGAGCTGGCGGGTTCAAACCCAGCCCGGGCCTGCCAAACAACAAGGACAGCTACAACCAAAAAATAGCTGGGGATGGCACCTGTGGCCAAAAGAGTAGGGCGCCAGCCCCATATGCTGGAGGTGGCAGGTTCAAACCCAGCCGCGGCCAAAAACTGCAAAAAACAAAAAAATAGCTGGGCGTTGTGGCAGACGCCTGTAGTCCCAGGTACTTGGGAGGCTGAGGCAAGAGAATTGCTTAAACCCAAGAGTGTGAGGTTGCTGTGAGCTGTGACACGATGGCACTGTACTGAGGGCAACATAGTAAGACTGTCTCAAAAAAACAAAACAAACAAGCAAACAAAAAAATCATTAAAGTGAGATCTTTCCTTTAACTCTACCAATAAAGACTAGATTTACCTTGCCCCTCCTGGGTACTTAGGTGCTGTTGACCTAGGTCACCCTACAAAGATCACTGTTCTGCTGGGCTGACCCTATGTTTATTTATGGACTATCAGATGCTGCTCTTTCAGACTGTCATCTCCTGAGGAGGGCCTTGTTCTCTTGCCATGAATCACAAACAGCTTTTTTTTTTTTTTTTGAGACAAGTTCTCAAGCTGTCGCCCTGGGTAGAGTGCCATGCGTGGTGTCACAGCTCACAGCAACCTCAAACTCTTGGGCTTAAGTGATTCTCTTGCCTCAGCCTCCCAAGTAGCTAGGACTACAGGCACCCGCCACAACGCCTAGGTATTTTTTAGTTGTAGTTTTGGCAGGCCCAGGCTGGATTCAAACTCACCAGCTCTGGTGTACGTGGCTGGCGCCCTAGCTGCTGAGCTACAGGTGCTGAGCCGACCTCCTACCTATTGTAGAAGATGTAACTCTACTCTGAGGCTAAAACAACTCTGGAAACAGGTGACCTGAGCAGAACTAGGGGGTTGGTGCCATCTCTTACTAATTTTAACAGGAGCAACATAGCAATTAATAGGGTAACCCCACTTACTGTAGATCTTACAGTGGGACAAATTCTTTCTTTTTTTTGTTAGAGACAGGTTCCTACTCTGTTGCCCAGGTTGCAATGCAGTGGCATAATCACAGCTCACAGCAATCTCTAATTCCTGGGCTCAAGCCTCCTCCTGACTTAGCCTTCTGAGTAGCTAGGCCTATAATCACATTGGCCTGTCACACCCAACCAACTTTTTTTTTTTTTTTTTAACAGATGGGATCTCACTATATTGCACAGGCTTGTCTCAAACTCCTAGCCTCAAACAATCCTCCTGCCTTGGCCTCCCCAAGTGCTAGTAGATTACAGGCGTAAGCCATTGCACCCAGTGACAAATTCTTTTAAACTAAAAACAAAACCAAAACTGACAATAATTCCTCTTCAGCGTGTGGCTAGTTTTTATTTTATGAAAGGAAACAAAAGATTCTGAGATCCCTGCACATATCTCACACTGGGGCAGCTAATTGGCTTCTGAGCTGGCCTGACTTCTCACGGAAGATGGAAGACGTCCCTCTAACTACAGGAAGGATGCATTCCAGCAGCCTGGCTCTGGAGACTCTGGCTGGGAAGACAGAACCCACCTCTTTCTGCTGCCATTGGGCCTGTTCTCCACCAACAGTGTGGAAAGATTCTGGCAGCCTCTTGAGAAGGGGCAAAGCGAGGACATGTTCTTACTCTTAAACTCCAACCCATCCCAGCACCATAGCCCAGAAGCTGAAGCAATAGCTCCTCAAGCGAACTCTGAAATAAGCCCAAGAATGATGTAAACTATCAGCACCATCAGGTGCTTAATCACATCGCAATGAAGGAAAAACATAAGCACTGAGGAAGTCCTCTGCCCACCTAGTTTCCTCTCAGTTTACAAACGCTTGTGCAACATGCCACTCCTCCTGACCCTCATAGTTTCCAAGCCCTGTAAGAGCAAGTGGAGTGCTGGCCCACACTTCACACAGCTACTTGACAGATTTTTGATTACTAGCAAATAATTGAGAAAAGAGGTACAAATAGGTACTAATGGTCATGCCAAAGCTTACACATAACTGGAGCTTCACAGACACACCCAAGGGGAAAAATACCAGAGCCTTCACAGAAAACCATAGAACCAGACAGAAAACACAGGTTTTCAGGTCCTGCGAAAATACCAGGATGACCTAAATTTGAACCCTGAGCCTCTCAATCTCCAAAACACAACTAACCTCCTGCTCAATAATTAGCCTTTTGTGCTGCACAACATTATCCACCAAAGCTGGGTGGAAAAAACCTAGTCCCTTTCATCTGTAACCTTATCCTGGACTGCAGTCCCAGGGCGAACAAGGCTCTCCTAGACTACAGTTCTGTGCGCAGCCCAATCACCAGTGCTGAGAACCGAGGGAGAACCCTCACACATACCATACCCACCCAAAGGAAGGCTCTGTCACAGGCAGCGCACCCACACACTGCTAAAGAGCAAGCTCAGGTGAAGAAACTGAGGCCCAGAGAGGGATAGCACGTGACCCCAAGTCACGCAGCAAGTTAGGAACGGAGCTTTACTAAAACCCCAGCCTCCGGATTGCCGAATACCCCATTCCCACCCGCCTGCCCTCGTCACACCGGGCTGAGAGTAACATCACAGAACTTCTGCCCCAGTGTCCCCGCCTCCGAAGAGCCAGGACCTTGGTCTTCAGCCCGTGCGTTCATCTTCAGGCCGGGCCCGCCGCCGCCCCTGACCCAGCTCCCCAGCCCCGCTTCCCGCCGCCCGCCGGACCTGCAAAGTCGCGCTCCCGAGGGCAGACATTTCTCTACCTGCTTCCTCAAGCTCTTCATCCCGCCGCCCTCCCCGCGCTCTCCGCCCCCAGACAGACCCGCCCCTGAGTGCCATATCCACCAATCGAAAGCCCTTCTGCTTCGTCGCCCCACCCCCAAACAGAATAGAGCCCGCCCCCTGAGGCTGGCCTTCCTCCAATCCCCACCGCCCCTTCCGAGACGGGTACCTGCCTCCGCCAATTGACGCGCACCCTGGCCAAGTACCTGGGGCAGAGTTCCAACCGCGGGGCGTTGTGGACTCTGGCTGCGGTTCTGTGCACCTGTATGGAGACAGCCACAGGAACTCAGGATCCTTGGTCGCAGGATCAAAGCCTGTGCAGGAACAGAGAGCAGACTGAGGCACCGGCTTGAAGAGCCGGCTCCACCTCTGCATGATTGTATTCTCTGGAGAGTCTCCAAGCCGGTTTCCCTCGAGCAGAGGGTGGGGCTAAGGTTCAAATGCAATAATATTTGTGAACACAAAATTCTTCCAAGGCAGACACCCCCGCTATTCCTCTGACCTCATGGTACTGTGCTTCGTATATATATTATCTCCTTAATCCTCACACCAAACTTTAGAAAGTAGGAAACTATTATCCCAATTTTATATTGGAGGCGGATGAGTTCAGAGAGGTCTAAGGTCACACTGAGCGAGTGGCAGAGTGAAGGGCCCAAACACGTGCCAATGGGTTGGGGACTTTACCCATAACCTCCACCAGCAATTCCAAAGAAAAACACACCCTAAGTAAAATCAGTGTACTTGTTATTAATATATCAGCAAGACAAGTCTTCTGTTTGTCCCTAAACCACTTTGCCACCCTTCTTCCTAGAAATTCTGTTTTTTTTTCTTTAATCGTCCAGTCCAAAAATGTCAATTCCTAGACATTCTTGAGCTACCTACCTCTGGCTCTGACTCAACTCAGGTCTGTTATCCTGCCTACTCTGCTTGTACAACTGCATGAGCCTGATAGGATGGAACTGGATTTACAAGAACATGATATGTGAGAAGACCTGGTTCCAGCTTTGCCTATGGCACTGCCAGACACAACCTTTAAATTATTTTCAGCATTTACATACTTGCCCTCATCTGATCCCTACAAAACCCTTGGATTATTAGGTATAAGGCAAATTCATATTTCCATTGGACAAATAAAAAAGGCAAAGTCTGAAGAAATAGACTATATTTTCCACATTCACATTTAGGGAGTGTCAGAACTGGGATCTCAACTGAAATCTCTGGACTCTATGGGCTTTGGAATGTTAAACCTGGTCCTTCCACTTCAACTGATGAATGAACTTACTTAAGTTATTTACATTATCTGTGTCAGTTTACTCATCCATAAAATAGTATATCTACTACTTGATGTTGCTCAAAAGACTAAACAGAACACAAACACAGCGCTATGTCTTGTCTAGAAATTTAGAAAAATTGACTACATAACAGGTGCGCAATTAATGTAGTTAACTATTGTCTCTTGTTAACTAATGTTTCTCTTGCTGTGGTCTCTTGGCCAAGGAACTTCCACTCTCTGGCCTTTTATGCTATATAACATTATCCTTCAAGGACTAAGTAGAAAAAATCCTGGTTCCTGGGTGGTATCTGTGGCTCAAAGAGTAGGGCGCCAGCCCCATATGCCACAGGTGGCGGGTTCAAACCCAGCCCCGGCATAAACTGCAAAAAAAAAAAAAGTCCTGGTTCCTTTTACCTATCACAGCTTGGACTTCAGTCCCTTTATCATAAAATGCAAGGTTTGGGCTGGTGACTATCAAAGAGTCTGTCAATTCTTTAAGTCCCCTCTTGCTCAGGGTCCTCCCTGAGGAAATCCCCATCATGATGACCACTCAGAGAAATTGAGTTAATGTAGAGTTCCCCTGCCATTTGGATCCCAAAGGAAGAACAGGCAGGGCGACTGCAAGACACACTCCTGACCCTAAAAGAAGTCATCCTTCACTCCTCTCTCTCCTTCTCACAGCCAGTGCCAAGCTCTGTTCATCCATTCAACAAATATCTTTTAAGTGCCTGCTATGTGCCAGGCACTGTTCTAATCATGGGGCATAAAGTTGTGAACATGGGCTGGGCACAGTGGCTCATGCTTGTAATCCTAGCACTCTGGGAGGCCAAAGCAAGTGGATCACCTGAGCACAAGAGTTTGAGACCAGCCTGAGTAAGAGCGAGATCTCCATCTCTACTTAAAAAATAGAACTATCTGGGCATTGTGGCAGGTGCCTGTAGTCCCAGTTACTCAGAAGGCTAAGGCAAGAAGATCGCTTGAGCCCAGGAGTTTGAGGTTGCTGTGAGCTATGACACCATAGCACTGTAGCCTGGAGCAATAGAGTGAGACTTGGTCTCAAAAAAATGATAATAAAGTTCTAAACATAACCCAAATTCACTGCCGTGATGGTGCCTTCATTCTCGTCAGTTTGACAAGAATTACACAGTGTCCATCCAATCCATCTCTCCTTCCCTACTCCATTGCCAGGGCCCTGGTCCAAGCCTCATTTTTTAGTCCTGAACCACCACAATATGTTCTTATTGATCTCCCTGCTCTCAGCTCTCTTTTTCCATACTAGTTGCCAAAGAAACTTTTCTAACTTGTAAATCTTGCCTTATCACTCCCCAACTTAAAATTCCTTTTAGGCTCCTCCCAAGCTACAGGACAAAGTCCAGCCTCTTTACTGGGTAAGCCCCTTTCGGGGCTGCCCTCTATGGGCCTCTCCTGACTGGGTCTTGCCACGCCCTCCTTCTACCCTAAATTCAGTCCCTGCAAACCACTGGCTGGCCTTTTCCTAGGTCTACCAAGCTCTTTTCCTCTTTGTTGCCTGCCAGGGGAAAAGCAACAACTGATGTTCATCCTTTTAGTCTCAGCTTAAACACCACCTCCTCCATGAAGCCTTCCCTGAGCCATTTTATTATTTATTTATTTATTATTTATTTATTTATTTATTTTATTGTTGACACAGAGTCTCCCCCCCACACATACACCCCATGCCCTGAGCAGAGTGCAATGGCGTCATAGCTCACTGCAACCTCAGACTCCAGCTGGGCATCCACTGCCTCAGCCTCCGGAAGCCGCTGGGATTACAGGTGCTTGCAGTAGCGCCCAGCTGGGTTTTTCATTTTTTTAGGAGTTGAGGGTCTCACTCTCTCTCAGGCAAGTTGAGAACTCCTGAGCTCAGCAATTCTCCCTCCTCAGCCTCCCAGAGTGCTAAGATTACAGGCTTCAGCCATGCACCTGGCCCCCCTGAGCCATTTTATAGGGGAGGGCAGCATGAGGTAAGAAACGACTACAGCAAAACACTTAAGACTTCAGGCTCTGCAATAGAACTGTCTAATCCTGCCTAAGCCTGACTCTTATACTAAGTACTCAGGCCTCTCTGAGCTAAGCCTCACTTGCCTCATCTGTGAAATGGAAACACTGATAATACTTACCATGTAAGATTGTAGTAAAGATCAAATGAGATAATGTGTGAACAGTTCTTAGAATAGTGCCTAACTTGTGGTAAGTCAGCAATGAATGTTAGCTTACGAGCCCTCTTGTACAGAGGAAGAAAACATTTTCTGAGCTCCTGCTATGTGGTAGGTACTCTGCCTATGTGCTATCTCATTTAATTCTCACAACCCAGTGAGGAAGATATTCATTACCGACAGAAACCTACAAAAACTAAGGTTCTAACAGGAGAAGTGGCTTCCCCAAAGCTGTCCAGCTGGGGACTGGTGGAGATGAATTTCAAACTCAAGGAGTTGTATAGCTTTAAAGCCTATGTTGGTTTTTGTTTTGTTTTGTTTTGAGACAGAGTCTCACTGTCGCCCTTGGTAGAGTGTGGTGGCGTCATAGCTCACAGCAACCTTTAACTCTTAGGTTGAAGTGATTCTCTTGCCTCAGCCTCCTAAGTAGCTGGGACTACGGGCGCCTGCCACAACGCCCAGCTATTTTTTGTTGCAGTTGTCATTGTTATTTAGCTGGCCCAGGCTAGGTTTGAACAGCCTCAGTGCATGTGGCTGGTGCGGTAACCACTGTACTACGGGTGCTGAGCCTGTTTTTTTTGTTTGTTTGTTTGTTTGTGAGACAGAGTCTTACTTTGTCGCCCTTGGGAGAGTGCCATGGCCTCATAGCTCACAGCAACCTCAAACTTTTGGGCTTAAGAGATCCTCTTGCCTCAGTTTTTCATTTTTAGTACAGATGGGATCTGACTCTTGCTCAGGTCAGAACGCCTGAGCTCAAGCAATCCACCTGCCTCGGCCTCCCAGAATGCTAGGATTATAGGTGTGAGCCACTGCGCCCGGCCTCAAAGCCCACGTTCTTCAGTGTTATTACTATTATTACGCTTCCTACAATTATTACTAATAAGTAACCTTTTTAAGATTCAGAGATAAATTTCCCCTAACTTAGAGAATAAATTTAAAACCCCTTAATCAGGCATTTAAGGCTCTATAATCACATTTGCCTTCACTTGCTTTTCCTTCATACCCCAGTTTGTATCCCAAGCCAGTCCCCTTCCTGGCATACCAGGCTAAATAAATTGGAGACCCTAGAGACTTACAGGAAAACCACAGAGAGGGCAAGCCCTTTCCCCAACTCTATTATTGCAAAGACAAGATGTTAGCTTGAAAGGAAACAAATGACAGTGTTGGGTAAACACATAAGCCTCAGCACCTGGTGGCTTGAATGTGCATGTTCTGTGATTGATCCTCTGCCCTGTAAGCAAACTCTTCTTTACCTGCCTGGCTGATTTCCAGATCTAAACAAATTCTGTCCTAGAAGCCACTAACCTCTCACTGCTAACCCAAAGCTAGATTATTTTCTCAGCTGCAGAGGGGGATAGAGCAGAGTTCAAGGGCAGGAAAGAGAACATATAACATATAACATTCCTCACTTGGCAGAGAGAGGAAAGATGGTCCTTTAGAAACTGCTGACCCTGCCAAATTGTAAATGATTCTGCATCACAGTCACAACCCACCCTGTGCAGCAGCCCTGACTGTAACTAGAAGGGCAAAGGGCCCCTGCTGTAGTTAATATTCAAGTCCAGAAACAGTAAACAGAAAAGCACACACCATGGCTGGCTGGCATCCTGGAGGCACTGCAGCTTCATGCCAGCAGCTTTGAGAGGGAACAGAAACTGTGGAGTGTGAATCCCAAGAGTGGAAAGTCAACTGGAGCGGGAGAAGGCTGGGGGATGGGTGTGCTCCAACTTAATGGGTACAATGTTAGGGTGTATGGCACACATCTTGGGGGAGGGACACAATTATATGAGGGGCTTTACTTAACATGCAAACAATGTAACCTAATTCGTCGTACCCTCAATTAACCCGAAACAATTTTAAAAAAGAAAGCTGGAGTGGGGAGACAAGTACCCAGCCAACACCCCCAGCCCCAGAAGCCTGGAGAGTTACCTACCTGGACAGGCCCTGGCGACTTCCTGGAGGAACATCCTAGTGTGTGAACCAAAGGGTAGCTGGAATACAAGGCTGAGCTCCGCTGTGTCCAGCTGGACAGTGACATCTGAGCCTGCACAAAAGAGACAGGAAATGAGCCCTTGGTAGCCAGGAGCTAAATGCTTTGATGCATCTTAAGGCTGCAGTCCCCAGAATGGAAAGTCAGCAGCCCAGGCTCCCCAAACCCCTTCAGTCCTTAAGCAACTCATTTATGGATGCTGCTGGGACAGTAAGGATAATAAGGGAATTCTCTGTACTAAATAACATCATTCCCATCTATAGAGGAGGTAGTTCAAATCTCAGTTAACCTCACCACCGCAGTACTAGATGGAGCTGGGAGAGAATAGGTTCTGTGGACTTGTCTTTACCCCTCCCACTGGAATGAAAAGCACATAAAGGCAGCAAGAGGGGCTGTCCATCAGTCAGTCCACCTGACTGTGCCAAGAACCATGCAAGGTGCTGGGAATACCATAGCAAGGAGAACAGATGTCTTCAAGGGGCTGTCTTCAAGGAGCTAGACTGTGGAAGGCCTCGTAGGCATAGCATATACCAAGTACCAGGCACGTAGTGACACTCAATAATGTGCTGAGGCCAGGTGAAGTGGTTCATGCCTATAATTCCAGCACTTTGGGAAGCTGATGCAGGAGGATCACTTGAGCATAGGAGTTCACGGCTGAAGTGAGCTATGATTGTGCCACTGCACTCCAGCCTGTGTGACAGAGCAAGACCCTATCTCTCTCTCTTTGGCACACACACACACATACACAAAATTAAAAAAAAAAATGTGCTAAATGAACAAACAGAAAATGTGCTAAAAATGAACAAACAGAAGCAACGTAGAAGAGTGATTAAGAACTAAGCACTGGCTCAGCACCTGTGGCTCAAGCGGCTAAGGCGCCAGCCACATACACCTAAGGTGG